AAACATCCTGTTCCTGTAGTGTTAAAACCATTTATACACTGCAGCTTAAATATATGCATATTATAAATGCTATTCATAAAGAAACGTTCTTCTTTTTTGGTGGGCCAACGGATGCAAATTGTAAAATTTACCAAAATATAAAACAGACATACAAATAAATTGTGAATAAATTTGAGGAGGACGTTTAAATGATTTTTGGAAATATATGTCACTGTGGATGGCTGGACACTACAAACTAGAGGTGGGCATTTCTATCCAAGTATCGACACTATCAATGCTAAAATGAGTATCAGATCGGATCGATGCTAGTGTGATGAGATCAATTGTTTTGTTTACAGTTATTTGCACTGCTGACTTTATTTTTCACAAATAGTTTGGAGGTAGTCATTAGTCCTCTACAGTGTACATGCCTGTCATATTGTTGCTTCTTTTTTATTTTCCACTAGTAACTTTTTTTCTTTTAAAACATGTGCAGTAGAAGGTAATAGAGGATTTATTAGAATTCAAAAACAGGAGTGTTAAAATTTCAGTGTTGAACTTTTGAGTGTTGATTTAACACCCCCTAGTGTTATTTTAACACTTTCTGAGTACACTGACACCCAGTGTTGGTGTTAATTCACAGTGTTGATTTCCTCAGTGTTGTCTCAACACTGGACAGTGTTAAATAAGCTCTGCCCACAGTTAACTCTTATATAATACTTAACTGTGTTGTTAAATGACACCATGCAATGTTGAAAGCAGTTTTCTGAAAAGTCCCGCCCTCTTCCACCTCATGTCAGACAGACCAGTATTTACTCAGCATTCCTTGCTGAGAAATATTGCAGAAACGATGTTTTTGCATGTTTATGACCAGTTCATGAGAGTAAAAATTAGTTGTTCTGGTTAGTTTACTTGTTCAGTTTGATCAAGTCGTTCAACTTTAAATTTATGTTTTTGGCCAAAAACCGACACCATGAGTGAGAGGTACTTCTTGGTGTGTGATGCACTGTAAAAAATGAAATGTTGGATTTACTTAACTATGTTATGTTACCTGGTTCCTCTTAACTGAGTTGAGTAAATTCAAAGCAATATACCAGTTTTTTAACCAAAGAACATGAGCAYGTTGCTTTGAATTTACTCAACTCAGTTAAGTGGAACCAGGTCACATAACATGGTTAAGTAAATCCAACATTTCATTTTTAGAGTGTGAGTGACTCCATTATACTTTTCTACTAACTACTGAGCAGTGTTAAAGCAACACTACAAGGGGTTTGATTTTTAACTCGCGTGTTAAATTTACACTTTCAATTTGATGGTGTGTTGACACCTTGTGGTGTCTCTTATCCTTTCAAACATCACGATTTCCTTCATTAATAATAATACACTGGTGATACTTTTAACACTTTATTTTAACACTGTTGAAAGGCTAATATGACACCCAATATTATTGAATATTTAACACTGGCTGGTGTTAATTTTAACACTATATTTTAACACTAAAACTATTTTATGTTAATGTGACACCAGTATTGTTGAATGTTAAACACTGATTGGTGTTAAATTACCAAAAAATAATGGGTGTTACAATTTAACACTTTCACAAATGTTATTTTAACACCAGTGAGTGCGGACACTTATAGACACTTTGTTGGTGTTGAAATTAACACTGTGCGTGTTAAAAAAACTCTGGCATTTTTTGTATTATTAGTTATAAAACATTTTGATTTTATTAAAATATTTGTTCAGTGTATTATCACAATTACTTAAAGTAAAATAGGGTTATTCAGTGGACACATATATGGAATCAGCAATAACAGCCCATTTACTTGGTACAGATACTACAAACTACAGCGAGCAATCACAATGTTTACATTCTGTATAGAAATGTATCCATCCTCTGGCTACAAAAAAGAAAAAGAAAAAAGAAATGCATACATCCATTATCTAAACCTGCTTTTTCATCATCGTGGGGGTCACAGTTGCCCACCTCCAGCAGTCACAGTGCGAGGGGCAAGGTGCCTGGACAATTTGCAAGTCCATCATAGGAACACATAGGGACAAACAAAGCAATCATTCACTCTCACTCATACCTAGGGACAATTTAGAGTTACAGATTAGCCCAACAGTCATGTTTTGGTCTGTGAGAGAAAACCAAAGTACCCAAAGAAAACTCACACATGCACAGAAAGAACATGCAAATTCCACCCAGAAAGGTCCCTGGCAACTTCTTACTGAGAGGCAATAGCTCTACCAGTTGAGCTAATGAATATATGGAAATATAGTCAAAGAAAATGTGCAACTCAGTCAATAAAGACACAATAGTAAAAACATTTCAAACACATCAGATTTTTTTCTTCAGAAATAGCCAATAGTACACCTTGAAACGAAGTGTTTTATCTTGTGTGATCATCTGTTCTGTTTTAATGTTATAAGGAGAAGTCAGTTTTGTCTCATTTGTATTTTAAAATGTTGACCTGATATTAATCATGAAAGTATATGATGAACAGATGTTTCTTTTTTAAACAGAGATTTTTTTTATCTGAGTTGTGATGCACAGTTGTGACTCTTCTAGGTCAAACCTTCTCCAGCAGAAGCATGGAGGTGGTGACTTGCAAAGTACGTCACCAAGAGATAAAAATAGACTCGTCTCAAATGTGACTGGAATTTTGTAAAGCCAGGAGTGTGTTTGAGATATACTGTAGACATAGTACTGTGTAAAAAATTAACACAGGTGGAAAAAATAAAAAAAATAAAATGCTGTGATGTATGCATGGTTTTACAAATGTAGCTTTTGTAATGTTTTTTTTTTACAAACTAAAAAATATATAACTGAATGTAGACAAAAGACATCTAGAACAAATAATTCTTCATTGTGATCACCTGTTGCCTTCAAAGTAGCCATTGTTCTTTTAGACCACGTGTCAATTTCAACGTGACTTCTGTCAGGCCCTCCAAAAACAATAACAATATAATAAAATAAACACATTTAAAGGTGAAAGATAATACTTGTCCTACCCCTGAGCTGTTGGCTTTCAATAATGGTCCTCTGAGCAATTTAGTTTAATATCCCTGTATTAATGTCTCAAAATAAGTTGCTTTAAAGCCAGCATTGATCATGAATTATATCTCCCATAATGCATGTTGATAATGCATGAGAATTCCCTGTCGGAAAGTGAGCGAGTTCACAATTCAAGATCATAACTCAACAGTGAGTAAAACTCTTACTTTTACTTTTAATAATACTTCTGTATTATTTATCTCACATTTTAGTCAGTTGTACATGTAGTACTTTTCAGAGTTTATAAGAGGACGTGTTAAAGCACTGTTTCTATGCTGGTAATACCATGAAGAGCTCAGTTATATAATGGTAGTGTTGCAATGAGACAAGGAACTTCTGTTTAGTTAAATATGAAAAGTTGAAGTTATTACAACTGGCCTTTTGAGGGCCACCAATGCTCATGTGGCTCTCAGTGAAAAGTAATTTGACCCCCCGTTTCAGATGGACTTGCACAAAGTAATGGATGTTTTACTATAATGTTCAGGGTAATGGTTAATTAGTTATACTAAACATGCTTTAATAATCATTTTCACATGGACTGAAATGAGGAGGCTTAAAACTTGGTAAAGAACAAACTATCAAGGACAGGTTGTAGAAACAATTTCATGTCAGACCACGGCAACACTGATCTCAACCAAACAAAGCAGTTCTACATTACACCAAGCAAATATTTAAAAAGTGTGCCAGGGGTTTAGGGTGTGCAATGCACGGTAGAGATAATATTTGGTCAAGGAATTGTCTGGCAGATTCAAGACACATCAGTTTCACAAATACCTCCTTTCTAAACTGGAAGATATCCTGCAGGCCCTTCAGCTCAGTACACCCACCTACTGTCTGGCGAAGTCTCAGACAAAACTCCAAACCACTGCTGTGAAAAGAAAAAAAAAAGATTTTTGACTCATTTACAAAATACCTCAAGGATGCAGAAACATGTCTGCAGGTGCTCTGACTTCATCAGTCAAAAAGTTCCATATTTAGCTGCACTACAGCAGATTGGCAGAAACCACGGATTTAGGAATATAATTAAAGATATCCTCGATTCTGAAAAATACAAGCAGATGCATTGCTACCAGGAAAGTGTCTAAAAGACCCAGTTTTGAATCTGCATGAATAAGAACATCAAGAATGCAATCAGTGTCTTTCTAAAACGTCACAAACTGAAGGTTGTGAGCCCACATTATCCACAGAGGAGCTCTTCAATGTTAGTTCTCCAAGATGCCTGAGCAAGTGCATTCAGAACTGATGCTGTTTTAAAATGCAATATGACACATCAGTTCTTTTTATCTGCTCATTCCTTTTTTGTTTTGTTAATTAAAATAAAAAATAATTAAAGTTTATGTGGCAGGGTTTAGTTTTATATTTTATAACTTATTCAAATACTGCATAAGCCCTCACACTCGCATCAGGTATGTTGGAGCAGAAGACCCTAGTGATCCTTGAGGACAAGGATTTGACACCCCTGCTCTAGAGGTTTTCAGGATACCCCCCCACAGACCACAAGGCGGAACCAGAACTCTCTGGGGGGATTATGCATCCTCTGTTGCCTGGAAACTTGGGATCCCCCCAGGAGCTGGAATCATCTGGAACGATGATGTCTGAGTTTTCTTTCACGGACTTGTTGCCTCCACAACCCAACCATGGATGACCAAATGGAAACAAATGATTTGATGAATTTATTTAAATCCTTTCCCTTTCCATGATTTTTTCCCCACACTTTACAAAGTGTAATAAATAATAAATGTACTATTTTACTCTGTTTTTTATTATTCTTTTTGTTTAGTGTTTGCTCCGTGCAGATCATCCCCATCAATCCACGTTAGTATGTTCATTCATAAAGTCATTCTTCTTCCGTGCTCTTTCACCCCTCGCCTGGTTATTTATACCCACCGATGATTCATGTGTTGTCATGGATGCCGCGCCTGCGCAGAAGACAGGCTGAAAATGTGAATCATCTCGACGCAAAGTCAAGGAAGGAGAGAGAGAGAGAGAGAGCGGGTGGCTGTAGAGTGATGGGACCCCGGCTGAGGAAACAGCACCGAGTGATCACTCTCCGAGCAGGTGATGAAAGGTAACATAAGACGTTTTCGTTTTGACATCATTTAGGCATACAGTGATAGTGCAGTATAAGGGGCAGAGCTGTAAGATTGTTGCGGGGATTGTGAGCGG